TTCAGACTTTGACAGCACACATCTCAGCAATGCTACAACACTGGACGAAAGTTTGGAAATGCTTTCCCCTATTATTTTTTCTCCTTAAGGAGTTTCTTCCATTTACATTCCTTTCTTTGTTCCAGATTACCCTCTTATTACCCTTTTACATTTCTCCTTCCGGCTTTTCTCCAACACTTTGACTTAATGTTCCTTGTAATCGTGTCTGGGAACTGCAAATAGTCTGAGTAATAGCTAAACAGCAATTTAGAAAGCAGAGGGGCTGCTAAGGCATGGATTGCTGACTATGTCCATCCTGTTTTGTCTCTCCTGGGTTTCTAATCCCAGGTTCAGCTCAGGAAAATAATGAGAGAAATACACAAAGAAACTGTTACACATCTACGTTCAATTCTGTTCTTTTTTTTTCCCCATCATATTCACACAGCTTCAATTATTGAACTATTGCATGTCCATGGAAGTGTATAAATTAGAGAAGTACTCTTGCATACTTCCTGTTTTAAGAACAGGAAAATATATTGCAAGTCATGCTGCTGGAAAGGTCAGATCCTGCTATCCAGTTCTTCATTTGCACACTCTAAAATAAAACAGTTAATTCTAGTTAAGGCAGAGTAAGACATATTCAGAACTCTTGGGAATTAAGGGTAAGATTCACTACTCTGATTCTTTTTTTATTAGACATGCTTAGGTCAGCACAAGAAGCTGTGGCATATGTAATGTATGCACTTAGAGAACATGATGACTGTAAGAGAATATGATAATTAAAACAAAAAAACTTCAAATACTGACTACATCAGTTGTAAATTTAAWCCTGAATTATATTAGCTTAAATATACTGATGTCTTGAAAGTTACTGCATATATAATAAATATGTAAGAGGGCTAGTGATATTGTACAATTTTTATAAATTTCAATATTAAAGATCCGGTGTAAATTAATGAAGCAAGTTACATCTACAGAATGTTAGATGTAATGTACCTGTTCTGTCCTACAGAGAGATGAGAGTCCTGTTGTATTCTACAGAGTTTCCTCAAAGTTAACACATCTGCTGTAACCACGTACTTTTCAAAAGAAAAGTCAGAGGTGGGAGCTGGGATTATTTAGTCTGGAGAAGAGGAGGCTCAAAGGAGACTGTATCACTCTCTACAACTACCTGAAAGGAGTTTGTAGTGAAGTGGGGGCAGAACTCTTCTCCAAAATAATTAACGGTAGGACAAAAAGAAATGGCCTCAATTTGAGCCATGGAAGGTTCTGGTTAGATATTAGGAAAAAAAATCTACACGAAGAGTGGTGAAGCATTGAAATAAGCTGCCCAGGGAAGCGGCAGAGTCACCATCCCTGATAGTGTTCAAGAAACACGTACATGAGCCCCTCAGGGACATGGCTTAGCAGCTACTGTGTTAAAGGATTTTTGGTCGAACTCCATGATCTTGCAGGACTTTTCCAACCACGACGATCCTGTGATTCCATGGTTCTTTGCAGAAACTGATCTCCCCACTGGCTGTGCTGTAGGCCTGGCTCTTACACAGGCCTCTCCCTAAAWCCGGCTAAGTGGGTCATTTGGAGCCAAGGCCTCCATTCCCTCTGATCTAGGGCAACCAAGAGACCCTCTTAATGGTAGCTAGACCACAGTAGAGATTTTCAGGAGAGGTTAAGGTCTTTAGCTGTCCTTACATAGCTCTCCTTAACTATCAACAGCAAGCACCCTCTTTCCCTCTAAGGATTCCAAGAAAATGCCCACAGCCTCCAATGTGGATGTCAGAAGAAAGTCCAGGAACTTCTGCCCAAACTGCTGAGTCTGTTGACCACACTGTCACTGTCAGCTGCATTCTTCCCTGTCCGCAGTGCAAGCTGAAATCCTGTTTACACCAGAAGCAGTACAGTTTGAACTGGATGTTCTCAGTTGTTACAAAAACATGCTGGCAGTCTTGAAGAAAACTAAATATATTACTAGGTTAAGATGATTTATGTTCTAAGTTCAGATAGGTATTTAAACAGAGAAATTTCTTAAAATATATATGTCCCATTTCACCCATTTTACTCTCTAAAATACAACATAACAATGGATATGATCCCAGCTGCACAACAGAAGAGAAGATTCTTACTTCAAATCAAGGTTTTCAAGACCCAGGAGCATTGACCACAGTTCACACACCCAGAATCTTATCTAGAGTTGTTGTTATGTTTGAAAAAACAATACAATAAGAAAAGAGCATAACAGGGACTTTTGCTTTTTCAGCTCCACTGATTGAAATAAAATAATACTTTCTCTTATCCTTATATTGTCCAGGATGCAGAACATTTGCAATTTGTTTTAACACAACATAGCATCAGAGGCAGTGAATGTTGATGTAGCCTTGTCAAAAGTGTGATGTATCATAGAGGTTTTCCTTGCACTACCTTGTAGTTTCAGACTTGCATGGTGGATAAATCTTGCTACATACACCAGTTCAAGGAAATACTCAAAATAAGAAGACTTTAGGCCCTACAATATATCATCATGCTTTAAGTCTGACAATAAAGTACTGTGGTCAGATTGCGTGATCCGTTCCATCATTAGTGCCTAGAATCTACGCTGTAAGAACAACAGTAGCATTTAGTAATTTGTTAAGAAAGAAGTTTCAAAAAGGGATTTATCTTTTAGGGTCTCCAGATTAGGTTATTTTTTTGTCAGTAGCAAAGACAGGATGAAAAGGGAACTCATTCAGTTCATTGTTTAGTTTCAATTGGCCAATTCACTGGCTCTTCTCTACAAGCCTGCTGACCTTGCTGTTAGAAATAATTGGACTTTGGGGTCAAAATAATACCTGCGATCAGTGCTCAGCATGTACTCCAGCATGCCGTGCAGAAATATATCCACATACCAATCCAGTACCGAATAATCCTTTGTATAAAAGCACCTTCCAGCACATTAGCAAAGCATATATTCCATGATTATATACTTCCATATATCAGAGGGGCTTATTTTAAGGCCTTGTAGTGAGATCTTATCTTTTCTTCACTGCCAATGATCTGTAGAGACTATCAGTACTCCAAGCAGTTGTGCAGATTTATTTCCTGAGGAGCAGTAGCAAAAAACAATCTGCTGAACTATTGAAGAGGAATTTCCTTATTTCTGCAAAGTTTCACACTCATTAGGTTCTAGAATATTACTTCTTCTGGACCTCATCCACCCCAAACATAGCAAAAAGACTAGAATGAAGCCAAGGAATGAGAGCTTTTTGATCAATATCAATCACCGTGTAATTATGAAATGTTTACATGGTGTATTCTACAGCCTCTTGTGGCAGTTTGCCAATGACACATAGTAGCTCTCTTTGCCAATAACTGTAGGTGTCCAGAAAGAATTGTTATTGAAGCAAAAGTTTTCAGTTGGCACTTATATAGGGTTTGCAATAAGCTTAATGATGATCGGGTTCACGCTTTTGGCATGTCAACAATTTCTGTTCTCAGTTTCTGTCCAAAACGCTACATCTTGCTCTGCTATCTGTTGCGTGTGCTGAGCAATCTCAAAGCAAGCAGTGGCTGCCCAAAGCCGAGAACACCAACTGCACCATGTGCCCATTCACTGATTGCTTCGACAGCTTCATTCCTCCCATGTGCTTCAGACAATCTCTTACTGGGGAAATACTGATGAAGGATTTAGGAAACGATTCTATCTGTTTCACAAACAGACTCCTGCATGTAAAAAATCCTGCAGATATAAAAAAAACTGCAGTTAAAAAAAGGTAACAGAACATGCAGTGTATATATTTTTTAATTCTCGACTCACAAACTACATACAAAATGAACAAAATCTCACTTGATTCATAGGGGAATTTCAGTTTGAGCAGTATATCTGATCTATTTTTGATATGCAGTGTGAGAATGGATTGCATCCCTTCCCACAATGCAAACATTCCCACACATAGAGCCAGAAAAGAACACACATACAAATATTTCTGCATGGAGTTACATGATTACGTCTCAATTTGGAATCTCTTCTACTGCAGAAACTTCTGTGATCCCACATTCCCTTCAGTGTTAACCAGGCTTATCTTATAAAAAGCTTTGACATGGCATGAAAAGGAGGAATAAGGGTAATTGAATGGAAGGAGGACTAAACTTCTAAAAATCATAAATATGCCTGGCTTGCATAGTTAGTTTTCAATCCTTCATGCTTGAGCAAAACTGCATAGTTAGTCAGTCAACAGCCTTCATGCTGTACTGTTCAAGATATTTCTTATGGGCAAATTGCCATATTAAAATAAAAAAGATTTTTAGCAGCACATTGAATCAAAAGACCCCAATAGGCAGCTGCTTCCATCCAGTGGGGAAGTGATCAGAAATACTATAACTTTATTATTTGTAATTATTGATGACATAGATTAGCTGAGCAGAAGTAATGTAAATAAACTGCATGCATATAGAGGCAAGTGAAATATTATTGAATATGCAGCATAACAACACAGACTGCTTTGTATCTGGCATCAAGGTCGAAGATGTAGCCTTCATTCTACAGGCAGAAATCTCGATTTTCTAAAAATTCCAAAYTTTAATTTTCTAGAAGCTTCTTAACTTTATATCAGATTGGTTTCACGAGGTTCTGATGTCCTACATTCTCCAGACAGTCTTAGCAYCAAGTACCAGAAATAAGGAACTGAGCTGATATGTAATGCGGTCAATGACAACTCTCCCACAAAATGGGATTTTGTGGATATCATAATAGGAGAAGATCTTGTCATTACCTCAAGAAGCTTCCTGCACATCTCAGGCCTCAGAAAGTTAATGACTTAATTGATGTGAGAGAGCTCTTTCTGTGAAAGAGCAACCGGAATGCATGGAGCCCAGCCTGGGGGTGGATAATAAGCGAGTTGAGAGCTGTGAGTAAGGATTAGAGGGCAGGATGATACGAGAGACAGGGTGGTGGATGTTTGCTCCAGGGCCCTGATCAGGCTGAGGAAGCTGATGAGGCCTTCTGCAGACAGTGGGAAGTAGCTTCATGGTCATGGGCCCTGATTCGCATGGGGGACTTCATCTACCCCAATATCAGCTGGAAGCACAACACAGCTGGGCACRAACAGTCCTGGAGGTTCCTGCAGAGTGTGGATGATGATAACTATTTGACACAGGTTGTGGAGGAGCCAACGAGGAGAGGTGGGCTAGTGGACCTGGGACCAGGCTCTTTGGGAGGAATATAGGGATGTTCTCACAGAATGCAGGGATGCCACAAGGTGCATTTGGAATTTAATCTGGCAAGGGATGTTAAAGATAACAAGAAGAGCTTCTTCAACTGTATTAGTTACAAAAAGAAAATCAGGGAAAACATGGGTCCACTGTTGAAAGGGGTGGGTGCCCTGGTTATGAAAGACTCAGAAAAATCAGGGTTACTGAACGCTTTCTTTTCTTCAGTGTTTACTGAGAGCAGCCCTCTGGAATCTCAGAACCTAGACAAGAGAAGAAGCCCGGAGAGAGGACGGCTTGCCTTGGGTAGAAGAAGATTGAGTCAGAGAGCACTTAGGGAAACTTGATACCCACAAATCCMTGGGCTCTGATGGGATGCACCCCAGAGTGTTGTGTGAGCTGGTGGATGTTATTGCTAAGCCACTCACCATCATCTTGCAAAGGTCCTGGAGAAGGAGGGAGGTGCCAGAGGACTGGAGGAAAGCCAATATCATGCAAGTCTTCAAAAAGGGCAGGAAGGAGGACCCAGGCAACTGCAGGCCAATCAGCCTCACCTCCATGCCTGTAAAAATGATSGAACGTCTCACCCTGGCTGCTGTCTCTAAGCATGTGTAGGACAAGAAGGTGCTCAGGTGTAGTCAGCATGGATTCACCAATGTTTGACTAACCTCATAGCCTTCTATGAAGGAATGGCTACMTGGATAGATGAGGGGAGAGTGGTGGATGTCATCTATCCTGACTTCAACAGAGCTTTTGGTACTATCCCTGACAGCATCCTTTAGGACAAACTCCGAAAGTGCGGGTTAGATGAGTGGACCAGGCCTCCAACTGGGCTCAGTGCCACTGATCATCACCCTCTGAGATTAACTGTTAATTTCAGATTTAACTGTTAATCTGTTTTTCAGGAAGGAAAAAGAAAGATTACCTTTTCAATCTGATCTGTATACAGATCTTTGAGAGAGGGAAATACTACCACCTTGTTGTTATTTGAAAAAGGGATATATTTAGTTAAGAGATGAATCCTCTTGAGTTCCAGCTGATCCTCAGGTGTTAAAGGGACTACCAGGGCTAAGACTCGTGTCTTAATAGGGTTACCAAATAACGTAGTAACTATAATAGTGCTGACTTTGGCAGCACTAGATTCATGAACAGTCTGTCAACTGCAGGTCTGACAACCTTAAAAAAAAAGTAAATCAAGATCATGAATAGCATCATTTATTCAAATGCAAYATTTACAAAGCAGGTTTCAGATGTCTGCACAGGAAATCCTCTACCTCATAACTTTCTAGCTCTTAGCTAACTTTGATGTACAAATGCCCAATCATCACTCAYCCCTAGAAGATGAGAGAAGGTTCTCAGTCTCCAGGAGTCTCCTCAGGCAGCATCCTGACCCAAAGGGAGGAGAGAGGTTCAGCCCATTGACCAATCCAGAAATTAGGATGGAGTCTTCCCTCCAACTTCTTCCCTCCTTAGTTCACCTTTTATATTATTAACATTTAAGTGGAACTTGAGTGACTTTAGTCTTACTTACTTTTGAGTAAGACTAAATATGACTTTCTAAGACTCGTTTAAAGTCTCCCAAGCCAATAGAAAACCAAGAGCGCATGCTCAGTGAGGAGTGGTTGTACCTTGGAGRTGCAATGAGGAAATAATGAGGAAAAGTCCAAGCAAAGTCCATCCAAAGAGACTAATCTGCCACTATTAGTCCAGCACCAGACATCTTAGCACACTATGTGGCTTATCAGCTGCATGGTACCCCCAGGTTGCCACTCCTGCAGGGAGCACAACAGTTTGGCTGTGGTGCCCTCACTCTGCTYCACCTTTCATTCACTCATCATCTGCATGGCATCCACCATAGGCTACCACCTCTGCGGGCAGTAAAACTACGTTTGGCCGTGGTGTCTCCCTTCTGCTACATGCTTTGTTTACTSTTATTAGCATGGGTAGGATGACAGATTGCAATGCTGATGAAAGTTATGGAGGAACAGATTGTGTACATACCAAAGGTCCTGGAAGTTGTAACTGTCTGTAGCCCCAAGCAAGCCTCTGTAATACCATAGCTTCTCTTACATCAAGTTTTTCTCTATTTCCCTCTTTTTTGAGCATTTTTCCCACATAATCTTCAAGGAGTTGCTAACCACTACATCGTTTGGGCTGTGTGGTTAAACATGATGCTAACTGACATCATCTGTGTCCTATTAAGAGTTTACTCCTGAAAGAAAAGACTTGACTGATAAAGATCAAATAGCTCATGCAGCACGTGTTTTGTGCTCTGCTCCTCTGCAGGTAGGAGTAGACAGTTGGCCAGATGCAGCTCTTCCTGTCATGTCAATTGGCTTCTGTGATTCAGGCCCAAGAGCTTTTCACATCTGAGAGAAGATGCATACTGAGAGGTTTACTCTCAATTCTAAGCAATGCAAGTGAGCAAGCATCAAGAACTTTTTATCAGGTATTACTATGAAGGAGCTTCAGTAAGTGGTAGTTGTGCTGACTGCCATGTTGATTCCTTTACAGACAGATGAACAATAATTATACGCTAACGGTTTACTACAACTGATTGGAAGCAGAAAAGAGCAGTAAAGTTTTAGAGATTCAAATAGGTTCATAGAACAGCCATATGGAAGCTCCTTTGGGAATCTTAACAAAGTAGGCTGTCTACTAGGTAGGATGATTTTTGTTTCTTTCTTTCTTTCTTTTTTCTTTTTTCTTTTCTTTTTTTTTTTTTTCCAGCAGGCTATATATCTCTTTCATTTTCCCATGGCAGGCTCTCTACTGAAAAATGCTTCTTTCTTAGTCCTGCAAGTTCTCCTTCACTTGCAGAGACCACAGTGACAGGAATACAGAGAGTGATAAGCACTTTAGAAAAACTAGATTGAGACCAYGGATTTCCTATTTTAATTGCATGCCATTGGTTGAGAGCAAATGATCACAATTTTGCAGTTTATCTCCACTTTTTTTTTTTCAGCAAACATATAAGTCAATTGAACTGAACAAACAAAAGAACTGAAAAATTAATGTATCCTCTCTCTCATAAACTGCATCTGGATGTCAGATGGATTCAAAACTTATTTGCATTTATGAACCTCAGCCATTTTTTCCTGACAATGATTCCTGCACTTTAATCACCATAKGATTCTCACAATAGTTCCACCAGACGACCTTGACACAAAGCCAGGATAAATCTTTATAACATCCCAAGGCATGTGCTACTTATAGATGCCTACTTTGTAAAAGTGCAGCTAAAATATGAGAAAATTAAATTACACTTTGTCCATAGACGGCAAGAGATCCATCTCCATTCAGATGAATTCAGACTTGGGATCAGAATTCAATTCACCTTATAGTCCTTTGAAAAGACATGCTGTTTCAGTTTCATTCTCTCAAGTTTGCTTCCAGCTCTTCTTTGAGCCACAAAACTTTTGTATCTTTGGCTGCTATGGCACAAAATAGTGTGGACAGTTTACAGGAAGTTCTCCTTTGGCATTCGCAGAATCATGACTGAGCCAGTCTGAGTAAAACTAGCAGAGATTTCAGAACTTAAAATATAATATGAAACTATAAAAAATCCTGCAGCACTAAAAAAAGACAAGTTCATAGCTACTGATTGTTATTCCTTCTCTTCTTCTCATTCCCACAGGGAAGATACATATTTGCAGTAACAGCCAACAATGGGTTAAGAAAGAACTGTCTTGAGAAGACTGGTCTCAGAGGGAATGCTTTGCACTACAAGCTAGAACCATTAAAAACTTAAGCGGTGTATGTTTTTGCTTAYGTATTTTCAGGGAAGAGTTTTAATTCAGAGATCAGTGGTCTTACGGGTAAACCATGTTTTCAAATAGGGCACTTTCAAAGATTTTTGTGTAGAGATAATTCACATAGGAAGCAATCATTTTYACTTGTATCTAGATAAGCAGCACCTAGTGCAATATGTCAGTAGGCCCAAGTGAGGGTCAAAGGGTTCTTCCATAACAAATCTATCATGAAATAGTGTAGCCAGCTGGACCAGAGAGGTGATCCTTCCCCTTTACTCGACACTGGTGAGGTAGTGCCTTGGATACTGTGTTCAGTTTTGGGCCCCTCACTACAAGAAAGACGTGAAGATAGTTGAGTGGGTCCAAAGGAGGGCAATGAAGCTGTTGAAGGGGCTGGAGCACAGAGCTTAGAAGGAGCGGCCGAGGGAGCTGGAGTGATTTAGTGTGGAGAAGAGGATGCTCAGGGGAGACCTTATTGTCCTCTACAACTACCTGAAAGGAGGTTGTAATGAGGTGGGGGCACATCTCTTCTCCAGAATAACTATGGATAGGACAAGAGGAAGTGACCGTAAGTTGTGAGGGAAGTTTAGGTTAGACATTAGGAAGAATTTCTGCACAGGAAGAGTAGTCAAGCATTGCAACAGGCTGYCCAGGGAAGTGGGAATCACCATCCCTGGCATTGTTAGAGAAATGTGTAGACAAAGTGCTTAGGGACGTGGTTTAGAAGGCATGGTGTTCAAGGGTTTACGGTTGGACTTGGTGATCTTGAATATCTTTTTGAACCATAATGATTCTGTGATTCTATGATATAAATCTCTCATTCAACACCAATCAGCATCTAACTTAGAAGTAATCATTCTTTTTGTCTAAGAATACAAAAATTATTCGGTTCCTTCATTAGTAGCCATAGGACTCTAATTATTGCTTAAGCTTTCTTTTGAATGTTAGTGTATTTCAGAATATCTAAATTACTTTTGGATCACCCATGAAATCACAAGGGAAGGTAGAGAAGTAAACAAGACCTACATTTGCAAGACCAAGCTGTTGTTGTATTGCCTTTGTAGATAAAAGATCAGATCCCCATCTGTTTAAATGTATGTCGCTGCATTCAGTGAAACAGAACCATAAATATTTATATGAAACTGAAATTTTATCCCAGGGTTTCTGCTGCAAGAGTAAGCCAAATGAAAAGTGAGATGAATCAGCATGTAATTCTGAAATGAACCACCAAATCGAGGCCAGACACTTAAATTTTGTTGCTCTGATTTCTCTAGCTTGATAAGTACAGTCATCCTAAATGTAGTTGCTCCAGTTGCTATCTACATCTGGCTCTGATTCATTTTATTTTTATCATATTCCTTTAGTAAACTCATTTCAGCTCAGCATACAATTCAACAACAATTGCTGCACATTTTTTTCAACATTGACTTTGTGTCAACATAAAAATGTCAGAGAAGTATGTAAGTGCTCCTGATTTAGGCTGCATTTAGTAATTTGTAGATGCATTCTGCATCCTAGGATCTTTTGTGTTGGATGTAGTCTTAGGGGAATTGATAGTTATTCCTTTAGCACAACTTTCAGTAACCTTTCATTATACTGAATTACAAGTAGATGCTGTGATCTTCTTAATATACTGATTACATATACTTATGTAATATACTTAAGAATATACTTAATATACTGATTACAGATTAGCATAAATCTTTTGGACCTGAGCACAGATTTCTAGAAAATGGAAGTATGTATATACAAACCCAGTGTTTCCAGTTAAGTTTAAGATCCCTTATCTACTAAAAGTTGTACCTATGTTATCTGTGACTAACAATACCAGCAGATACACTGAACATAGACCAGGAGAAATGTATGGATCCTTTCCTAAACAAAGAAGTGAAAGTAATTCTGTGTCTCAACAAAGGACATCTGTGACATATCAATGCATTAATTATGCCATTGTCCTCTTGATTCTCTTTCCAGGTGTTCAAACACAAACTCACACTTCCCAGATTTTCATTCATAAATCAGTCACTTTGAAAATCTCCAGGCATAAATAATTTAGGAATACTGTAGGAATCCCTACAGGATTCCTCTTGCTAGCAGGGTCCCTATGTGGAAATGTCATCATGTGACTCGATAAAGAAGATGTCTCCCCACGGCAATCTTGCAATTTATGGTGTAAGAAAATCTCCTCGCAACAAGTTTAGTCCTCACAATAAAAAGTCCTCATGACAAAAAGTCCGCACAACATATTACTTTTTAAATATTTTCTAATCTCAAGAGCATCCTGCAGTTCCCTTGCATCTTAAATTAACCATACAATATCTTTCAAACTCTCTTTGAAATATCTGTGCAGTTATACAAGCTGAATTGGGAATGATCCCCAAGTTTCTAAACTCTGTACAGATCAGCGACCAAATCACTTTATTGCACATACAGGTTCAGCATTCCTTAAAGATTTCCAGCAAATCTCTTTATCAAACTCCTTGTAACTTCTCTTCCTCTTAATATTCAATTCTTCTTTTTGAATTAAAAGATAGTTACAAAATTATAATTACAAAATACAGTTAATGGTGTGGGATTGGACAAAGAGATACAGCAGTATCTAGTTGCATTGGATATCGTTAGTGCCTGTTCAGGAACTGACATACAAAGCACTTATATTTCAGGCCCAAATACTTAAGTAGTACTATTTCAGAATTGCTGCCACAGAAGGCTGAAAATGTTTTGAACACTTTAGCACACTGAAGGCAACTTATAATCCTACGATAAGCAGGCCCAAAAACTTAAAGTTCACCAAAGTACAAGAAACAAGAACTGAGAGACCTATTCTGTTATTAAACTGATGGGATGATTCTGAAGATGAGAYGATGCTTCTGAAGATGAAGTTGGGACATTCTGCTATCAACAGAAGTAATTTTTTTCTCCTCCAGAGTTTGTCTTCACAAGAGGAASCTTCAGAATAAAAACTTTCTTGCTCTTAAATTGGAAGGAAGGTTTTTTTGGTTTATATGRAAGCATGTCTTCCTTTACCGACATCAAAATCTAGCTAGATTGGTCTAGTGATGAAATAAAGAAAGATCCTCTAAGCAGGGAACTACCAGAGACTAGAGTAAAAAGATTTCTGTCTTAAAAGCTGTTTATATATTTACTTTTTTTTTCTTGTTATTGTTGTTGCTTTATTGCCAAAATAGCAATAGCAAGAAATTCCCTTGTGCAGTCTGTACACTTACACCAGCAAAGGGTTCTTTTGCTAATAAACTTTAACCAAGTTCCCAAACAAAATAATTTGTCCAAGGAAAAAGAAAGCTATTTGTTTTTAAATCACTAAAATTTCATCTTCTTTAGGGTGTCCACCCTGTGGACAACTGAACATCTGTTAGCTGCGGATACAATTCTTTTTTCATACTCTGATTTAAGCATAACAGTAAAACTTCTGCTTTACTTCTTGTTTAAAAAAGACTGCCTGTTCTAGTGACTATATGAGATGGTGAACTGATTCTAATCTGCTAATCTCTTGGTGTCCAGAACAGATTGTTTCTTTCTGTTTTTTTTTTTTTTTTATCCATGGGAAATGAGTGAACCTTTCAAATTGAGAAAATGAAAGCAACATGAAATCTTTGGCAGTATCGCTGTTGATAAAAACCCAGTTTATAATAGCTGGTGTCTCATTCAGGAGAAATAAATTCAGTGTCATGGAAGGGCACATGAACACAGAAAAGACATTCAAGAAAATACAGGCATACAGATCTATGTGAAGACRAAGAAAATAAAATTGACTGGATCATCAGTATGCTTCAGAGATTTTTACTGCCAATTTACATTACAATGACACTGTATATCAAAATTTCACATTCAGTCTGCCTTTTCCAAGGAAGCAAAGTAAACTACCAGAATATGAACTTTATGTGTGGAATGGGTGCCAATTTTCCTCAGCAATGTCTTGGAGAAAGAACTGATTTTAAATTCCCTGTGGAGATTACCAAAGTTAGGCAGAGGAATGCCACAGTGATGATCCATGAGCTCCTCCAGCAAATCTTSCATCTATTTAGCAAAAACCTTCCTGAAAGTTTTTGGAATGCAAGCTGTACTGAGAAATTCCAAAATGGAATTCATCGGCAAATTGAAGAACTGCAGACATGCTTGGTAGAAGACCAATCTAAAAGAAAAAACAGCTCCCGAACAGGGGTCCTAAACAGTACCACTCTCAGTGTGAAAAAGTACTTTCGAAGAATCACCAACTTTCTACAAGATAAACATTACAGCCAGTGTTCCTGGGAAGCAGTCCGAATGGAAGTGAGAATTTGCTTTATATTTATTGACTGCCTTATGAGAAAGTACATGTCATAAAAAGGTAATTTTTTTTATATTCGGTATCTTTGCAAGTTTCTGGCAATTCTTTCCCTTTTAGGTTAGTCTCAAATTTTCAAATGTTCATAATTTTTTGAATTGGGGCTTGTTTTCAGAAAGSAGCATTCAATGTTCTAAGTGAAATATGTACTGTACTTAAAGAAACTTGTTATCCTTAAGCTCTCAGTTTTCAGCAGGAGAAAGGTCTTTAAAAAATGGATGGAGGCTGTTTGATGTTCTCTCTGTAGCCTTTCCACAGAGTATGCCAATTGTTTAAGAATTCAAAAGCATAATAGTTGGGCAGTCTATGAGTTTTACTTTTGCAATGGATCATTAAWGCAGATGTCCATGATGCAGACATACATAAGGAAGGTAGATATTTCTTGAGTCTATATGATACATAAATCTTAATTTACAAAGCATAGTAGTATTTGACATGACCTAAATCTCTTTAAAATATCTGATAACATAGACAAATATGTAACATACAACTCAAAAATAAGGGTGGGAASTTTCTAAACTCTAAAAGTCATTTTCTAGCGTTATTTTGCAACTCATCCCTATGAGATATAAACTCTTATCATTCGATATGGCAGAGTCATATATTCAATAACTGTAATAAGAATATTTAGGATATGTTAGTTGACATCAGTTATTATAGCAACTTAGAGTTCATAAAGCAGAGAAGAATAATGGGAAAATATTTATTATATGGCCAAATATGCAATCAAATTTCTTCTGTTGCTTCCCACTTCTCTCTCATACAGGCAGAGCCAAGCAGTGCTTCGAGACTTCATTTTACTGCATCATTTCATCTGCTTCACAAGGAAACCCTGGGACCAGTAGATTGTAAAAAGACTGTATGTATTTTGTCATGGATTTTTCCCTGCCTCTGATCTCTAAGTAACCCTGCTCCTGAAAGTATAGTTATTGCAAATGGAACCTGTTCTGTTTGAATGTAAGATATTAGAAAAAAATCAAACTACTTATGTAACTGCACACATGTTAGGGAGTGGACAGGGAAAAGTGGGAAAATTCTGTAGGCAGAAAATTCAATGTGATGTGATTACAACTCACCAGAGTAGAAATATTTGGCATTTTTATATGGTAGGTGGACACTACTATAGTCACATGTCTTTCTCTTGATTAAATGGAAGATATATATCAAAATCCCTTAGCATTTTTAAAAAAAATCAGAAAACTACTTCTGAATGCAATAATCTTAATGGAAGTGTTTTATTATTCCTGATCCCAAGAGTGGAGTGTAACAACATGGTATTTAGAACTGTWTAGACATCTAAATTAGACCTACCCCATTCACTCCCACACAGTGCTATTTTACAGGAACAAAGTCAGGGCAAGAAAGAATGGGTTACAAACTACATGCATGTAAGTCTTAATTATCCCAAAAGGGAATAAAAGTATCAATATTCTAAATTTGGCACACAGATAATTTAAAATTTACAAAAAGTTCATTAATGAATCTCTACTAATTTCAACACTTTGCTACTAAGTCAAGATTAAAGATATTCTTGAGGGCAGCAATGTTTAGCAAATGTGTTTAAGTATCATATAGTTCTAGCCAAAAAGGTATTCTTGTTTGTAAGACATTTTATTCAGGTTTTCTTCTCATAATATTTCTAAATTCATTGATTGTTGTAGTTATTTCATATTGCTCAGTTTTGGATACCTAAGTACTTTGCTGGAGCCCATGAGTTTGAGATTTCCCTACAGAATTATACAGGTTGATAAGCACAGATGGCATTTATCTAAGTACWGCTTAGCTGATTTTCTCTTTATGCCATGCAAACCTTCAGTTGAATTCCTGTCTCAGAGAACTCAAGAGTTTAGCAAACATAGCAGGACACAACCTTATCCACCCTAGACTGCACTAATTCTTCCTGTGATTTAGGTTAGACAAACATTGAACTGTGTGGAATGTCAGCACATCCCTGGCCATTATGGGAAACATCGATTTCCTTCATCTGCTTCTTTGGGAAGGCACTTCCATTCTAAAGCAGATACACCTATCTGTTTATGCACGCTTTATTATCAAATTGTGACTTTCAGATGAAGATTTATATTGGAAGGGGATGGGGAAACGGAGGTTGTGAAGTTATAAATGCACTTGGGAACCTAGAGAAGGTTAATGTACTGACGGAAGTAAAACATTTATAGGGAAGAGGTGTTCAAGAAATGTCCTACCTAGTTTTGTTGCAAATGTTTTTTTTTTTCAAATTAAAATCTATCTCCGGACATTTGCTGTCTAGAGTTCAGACCTCACCTTCAGTGAGAGACACACAAGAAATCTTGCATTCTTGTAAAAAGAATTTAATGTCCCAAAACTGGGTCTTCTATTAATTGAAGTGATATAACATTAAATATTAAATTTCTAATTTAAGGGAGCATTTTCAAATGAAATTCTGCATTTTTCTATGAAAAGAAAATATATCTAAGCTGCTATTGGTACATGCAACCTTTAAAACTATAACAAGTAAAGAAACAAATAGATATATCCAAGGATGCAATGTTTTTTGTTGGTTTGTTATTTTCTTTTTTGTTTATTTTTTTGTAAAAATTGTGGATCTAGACCATTTCCATGTCTCTCTATCAAGCACTCCGTATTACTATGTGGATAGATATTTCCACTCAAGAACAACCAGTACAAATATTTCGATTCACTTAAAAAACTCTTTTCAAATAAAAAATTGTCTATGTATACACTTGTCTACACTCCTAAATTCTTTCTTCTGCCTCCTAAGCAAATGATTTATTTTCTTCCCTCTGTGCCAGGCTGTTTTTTTGTTTGTTTTAGCACTTCCACAGTCATGCACAGAACCCAAAGCCCGCGTTAGAAGCTCAGTGATCAGCTGAGACCGTGGGGAGCGCCTGCCCCCTTGCACAATCAGGACCATACCTGCAGTTTTCCAAAACTGAGGCCAGTTTCAAAACTGGCATTATAGTATTTCTTTCCCTGATTCAAGCCTGTGCAGGATAACATTAATGTGGTTTCAACTTTGGTCACTCCTTGCAATTCAAGCCCAGACTCAAAATTGCTGTAAATCTCTAAATACTATATGCAATTCAGAATCCAATACACATATCTTTTGGTATTGCAATTCACTGATTTTATAATATATTTCATTACTAATCATCAGGCATCAATAAACACAAACTAAAAAGAGCTTGAAAGGGCTCTTTTCCTTAGAAATGCTTGATACTGAAGAATTTTCGTAGTTGCTTTATTTAGTTYCAACTGAAGTCACTGCCCACTGGTCTTGTAAGGATTATATCCTTTTCTTATCATTCATTTCTGAACTTTAATTAAAGTTCTCTAGTTCTGGAGACACAACACAGTTGTAGCATAACCAGATGGAATAAGCTATCCAACAAAACCTGAGTGCAAAAAATTATGCAATATGTACTGTAGCCCAGCACAATATATAATATCAATATTGTATTTACATGAATAATTTACACCAATATCAATGTTGAAGAGAGGATAAAGTATATCTTGATAATCAGGCTCTGATTAAGCATCAGAGGTAGTAGCATATTTCTAATATTGGAGGTCTGTATTTTATAGATATTTCCTTTTTTTCTGTAAACCTGGAAATTAAAATAYCTTTAATAACTTTTGGCAGGAGAGAATGGAGTAGAGAATGGAGCACTGGCAAATTATGTTGACATATCATACTCCTGGCTTAGGGATAAAAACAGTATTAAGATACTGCTTTTGCTCCATGAGAAAATTGACATTGCTATATAGTGTACATACAAGGCTAGAGGAATCATTCTCATGTCTTAACACAGACGTTCTAGATAAATCGTATCAAAATAGTGGATGCTTCTCTGTGCTGGCTTTAAAGGTTAATAAAGACCATGAACCACAATCACAAACACTGTGCTGCTATATATGCTCTAAAACATTACACTGAAATACAAATGAAAGTAATAAATTTGTTTATTCTTTAATCTACAAGTAATTGAACACTGAGGAAAAGTATTCACTTACTACTGGATTCTACATTTCTATTTTGTGACATAAGGGAATCAAACTTCTTAAAAAGTTCCCTTTTCAAGCATTCAAGAGACCTGATTTTTTAATGAAAAAATCAATGAATACATTGATTGAGGTTGAGGATGAACACAATGACTGAGGTTGGAAGGGACCTCTAGAGAACATCCAGTCCAACCCTCTGCTCAAGCAGGGACACCCAGCGCGCAGGGCAACCGATTGCATCCAGGAGAGTTTTGAAGACCTCCAGAGAAGGAGACTCCACAGCCTCCCTGGGCAGCCTGTGCCAGKGCTCTGTCACCCTCACTGGAAAGTTCTTCTTCACATGGAGATGGAACTTATGTGTTTCAGCTTACACCCATTGCCCCTTGTCCCATCACYGGCCACCAGKGAGARAAGTTGGGCCCCTTCCTCCCTACATTCTCCCCTCAGGTGAGAAGGGAGAATACATGTGAATCAGATCCCCTCTGAGCCTTCTCTTCTCCAGGGAGAGAACAGGCCCAACTCACTCAGTCTCTCCTTCTACGACAGATGCTCCACTCCCTTCATCATCTTCCTTGCCCTCTGCTGGATCCTCTCTAGAAGCTCCATGTCCCTCTTGTCCTGATGAGCCCAGAACTGCATCCAATGTTCCAGGTGCRGCCTCACCAGAGCTGAGTAGAGGAGCAGGATCCCCTCCCTGACCTGCTGGCAACACTCCTCCTGATGCAGCCAGGATCCCATTGGCCTTCTTGGCCACGAGGGCACACTGCTSACTCAYGGTTAACTTRGTGTCARCCAGGACTCCCAGGTCCCTCTCCGTGGAGCTGCTTTCCAGCAAGTCAACCCCTAGTCTGTACTGGTGCCTGGGGTTATTCCTCCTCAGGTGCAGGACCCTGCACTTGTACCTCATGCAGTTCCTCTCTGCCCAATTCTCCAGCCTGTCCAGGTCCCTCTGGATGGCAGCACAGCCCTCTGAAGCGCTGGCCACTCCACCCAGCTTGGTGTCGTCCGCAAACTTGCTCACGGTGCCCTCTGAACCCTCGCCCAAGTCATTGATGAACAAGTTGAACAGCACTAGGCCCAGTACTGACYCCTGGGGGACACCACTGGCCACAGGCCTCCAACWGGACTCRGCCCCATTTATCACCACCCTCCGAGCTCTGCGATCCTGCCAATTCTCAGTCCACTTCACTCTTATCTAATGCCCACTCCCTGAGCTTCCTCTTGAGGTTGTTATGGGAGACMGTGTCAAAAGCCTTGCTGAGTCAAGGTAGACAACATCCACGGCTCTCCCCTCGTTCATCCACCCTGTCATCCCAACATAGAATGCTATCAGGTTCCTCAGACACGACTTCCCCTTGGTTTCCTCTCCATGCTGACCACTCCTGATCACCTTGTTTTCTTTGACATGCCTAGAGATGCCGTGTAGGATGAGCTGCTCCATCACCTTTCCAGGGACAGAGGTGAGGCTGACCAGCCTGTAGTTTCCCAGCTCCTCCTTCTCACTCTTTTTGAAGACCGTAGTGATGTTTGTTTCTTAAAGTCGTCCGGCACCTCCGCTGCTCTCCATGAGCTCTCAAAGAAGATGTAGAGTGGCTGAGCAAGAACACCCGCCAGTTCCCTCAGCACTCTTGGGTGCATCCCTTCCAGGCCCATGGATTTATGGGTGGCCAGTGTGCCTAAGCRAACCCTAACCCAATCCTCCTCGACCAGCGGAAGGTCTTCCTCTCGCCCGTTTATCTCTCTCTCACCTGAGCTCTGTAGTTCTTGGGGACTAGTCTTAGCAGTACAGACAGACGCAGAGACATTTGGTAACTCTGCCTTCTCTGCATGCTCTGTTGCCAAAGCACCCTCCCCATTCAGCAGTGGACCAGCGCTTTCCCTAGTCTTTTCTCCTCTGGTGATTTATTTGCAGAAGCCCTTCCTGTTGTTTCTGACATCTCTTTCTACTTCTAATTMCAAACAGGCCTTCGCCTTCTTCATCGCATCTCTGCATTCCTTGACTATACTTCTTTATTGCTTCCATCTTTGAAGAAAACATTTCTTACTTTTAAAGAGAATTAATTTTGTTCTTTGTGTCAAAGGATAAAKGCTTACACAATTCAGATACTGAAAATCAATTCCTGGAAGATTTGCAGCAGAAACTGAAGGCAATAATTCTGTATGAGTTTTATTAGAATACTTTCATTTCCTGAACAAGACTTTGAACAGGGCATGTAGATGCATTTAATAACTTACTTTACAATACATTCTGCACTGATAGAAGTGTAACAAAAGTATTAATTGAACTTTCCAAGWTTTAGTCAAAAAGTGAGAGCACATTCAATAAATTAGAGCTTTACAGTTAACAGTGTCAATTTTGTTTCCAATGGTTATCAAGCTAAAGGGATTAATTCCAGCACCACATTTACATCTATTTAGATTTTAACACTATTTCTATGCACTATTTCAAGTGTTTCTTACAATTTTTCCCCAGTCCTAGGCTGTGATCCTAGTAAAGGTTATGAATCAGGCATGTAGTTTAATTATAAACTGAATAAAGTGCATAACGAAAGAAAAATAGTAGCAAGATAAACGGGATCTCAGAACAAGTGACTTATGTCAGCATCATTCTGACAAGTTCTCATTCAGATTCCTGTCTTCATCCAAAAATAAGAGAAATTCACCATCATGAAACAYAGACATGTCACCAGTTTCAGTAGAGCACACATTAACCATGAGCCAAAGTATCAAAAGAAAAAAAACACACCTCATATTAAAAAGTCTATGGCCTACAAATAGAATACCTTTTGCACTCCCTTAAACTTTCAAGTAAAGCAAAGCTGGAGATGACGGAGTTTCATTAAAACTCACTTCATAAAATGTTAATCTCTTAAATTCACAGTCTTAAATTGAATCATGAATTAAAGATAACTCTTATTAAAGGCGAAGACATATTTCATCTTCTTGTTTGGATATCATCTTGGCGCTCTGTGGGAAGGGTTTAAGGTGTTACCTTAGCCTGTATACAAACTTACAACGGATAAAACAATAGTTAATAGGCAAAGGCTAACAACAGAAGCTGAGAAACATCATTTTTCTGCAGTTCGAAAGAGCTCAGTAATGCTGGATTAGTAAACATTTAATTGCAGGATTGGCAAAAAATCTGTGGGAGAACATCCTGGTTGGCAATGAAATGAACAAAGCATCTTAAATAAGGTCCTAGTTCCCTTGTGCAGACTGCTGCAATTTACATTGTTAACAATCAATACTTCCCACACAAGTTTAGTATCATCTTGTAATTAAAAAAAAAAGTAAATGCTCTAAATGAATGAACCATTAGTGTTAAAAAGGGAGATCAAGCATGTTTCAGATTTGTACCATTTGTACCATAAGAACATTTCTTAAAATTTGACACCTTTGGAGAGATCATGCTGCAACCCTTAGAGCAGCTAGGTACATCACTTTCTGTGGAAACACTACAGATATTGACAGCATGACAGGGGGAAACTAGCACACATCTGAAGAAATTCAGTGGAGAAATAAAATAAAACAGCATTCAAACCAAAGCACATCTGCATTTTCCTGTTGAGACCATGCCACAAAAGAACTCCTTCTGGTATTTTACTGTTAAAAAATGGTACACAGAAGAAAAGGGTTGATTAAAACCATGCTCTTCTAGGTAAGTTGATATTGCGTCTGATAGCATTCCTTCCTGCTTCTTAAATATGGTAAATTCCTTTGTTACTACTGATTCATTATAAATCAGATCACTGATTGCCAGATATGTGGCATTCACATTGATTTCTTTTACTGGCATGCAAGATTGCAATATCACACATCAACAGTGGCGAATTTTAAAATGTCATCAGCATATCACGTTCTTGTACACTTGTGTAGAATGGTCTTCCAAAGATGAAGGAATGTAGACCTGGTTTAATCTTCTCAGCTAAAGCCATTATTATGTTAAGATCGCCCTCTGCTGTTAGGTCAAGGTCTATCTTTAAGCTACGAAGAGACTTAAAAGGCTTTTTTCCTTTTTGCCTGCAAGACAGAAAGAATTTTTGAAACCTGGATTACATTGAAAAGAACATAATTTCCTAGAGTGTATTTTCTATTATCTATTGACTTACGTGTCATCCTCTATGTATTTTATTAAAGTTAAGGCTTTTCTGTGAAGGACTAGCAGAAACTGTGCAAGAAAAGTACTCCGCAGAGACAAGCCTGGCTTCAGGTGAAAGATCTGTTAAAAAGTACAGMAAAAAATTAGTTGGATACAGAAATTCAAGGATAAATATATAGACGCACTGTACAAATGTGACAAACAAGTTCCTAATATGCAAAACAAACATAATAACATTGGATTCGTACATACACATTCGTACTTCTCTAGCTGTTCAATACAGTATGTTAAATTGTTTCACAATTCTATTGACGATTGAGTTCTGTTTTCCTTTTTAAAATTATTTGAAATGACCATCAGGTATCTTTTCCAATGTTGTAATTCCAGACACTGTGGCACAGTAATAGAAAAATGTGCACTGTTTTTCGTAGATAATAAGACTGTCACTATTATCCCAAATTTCAAATTAAGTTTAAATATTTTCAAAGATCATCTCCGTTACCAACCAGACATTTCTAATGCTCATAGCTAGAAGTTTTCTCTCTTGCTGTGCAGAAAACARTCAGAGCATCAGTATAAAAAATAGCTATCCGATAAGAAAATACCTATTTGCGTCAAATTATTTATTGTTAGAGCCCAAAGTTAAAAGGTCTTTAACACTTGAACTTCCTGAAAATGCAACCATTTACCTGATCCAGGAAGGCTTTCACTAAGGTATCTCTATGCAGGATGTCTTGAAAGACATTTCTATAGTAATGAAAGCAAACAAACATGTGAGATAATGCCAAGAGACACTAAACACTTCTGTACACGAACAGCATTACTACTTATGATCCGGCAGAAGTTGTGAATTTCAGTGAATTATAATCCTGCTATTTTTAAAGGTAATAAAGAACTTCTATGTCTATTTTTTTTCATGCAAAATGAACCAAAACCAGAGAAGCCATTAGGCCCTGTCAAATACACTTTGTATTGCATGAATTTCAGTAACATTTAAATCGGTAAGACTACTGACTGGACCAGGAAAATCCAAAAGATGAAGAACAAGTACCACAGTTCAAGTAGCTTCTTACAACCCCCAATCCTGTAATTTATTGGAAAGCTTTACACTACTATTCTCTCAACTTAAACCAAGTAACTTTTGAGAGCTGTGAGCACACATACAAATCCGGTGTGAAACTCTCATCTGTGTGGATAATAGGATCCTGAGACATTTCTTCATCTGAATTAGCTCTCCAAAATGCTGACAACTCAGATCTCATATAGCGTCGCTGGTTATAGATGTGTTCATGACAAGGTGGCATCTGCTTCACTGTATTGACATCTACATCTATATGTGTAGTGGGATATGGAGCATACATTACTTGACGGAAGGGCAATACAAAGCTTCCTGTTGCATCCTGTTACAGTGAAAAAAAATTACTCACTCTTTTGAAAAAGCAAAGCTACAGTGAAATCAAACAACATTAAAACATCACTCCTATAGTTTAAATGACATTTGTTTAGACATATTTCATTTGAGAAAACTGGTGACAGTAAGCCCAGTAAAATGTCCTATAATAATGGATGATTCTCTTAAGCTAATGATGAGAAAACAAGTATTGAGTTAATTTGAATTTTTCATTTTATTATTACATGATCCACTTCTTGATTCCATTAAGAATTCAGCACTACATTTATCTGACATTTCTATACACTGATGCGACCAACTTGTCAAAGCAAGGAGCATTACTTACCTATATATCTGCACTCATTGTTACAGTCCTTTTAAAACATTTGTAAACTGTAGGACTGTTCTTTTTTTTTGTTTTGCTATAATACAAACTCAGTGGCCTTTGGAAACCAACCTTGTTCCAAGTAGGAAAAAGAATTATTACTGAACCTCAGATTATAAGAACAACCAGGAAGAAGAAACACAAGCCTCATAGGAAAGATAAGCTTGTAATTTTAACATACAGAGAGTGATAGGTATACCTATAGCATTAGGAAACAATGAACAAAAGACAATAAATCCCTGTGGGCAAGAATATATTCATGTCACATACCAGAACGCGCACACACACACACACAAATTGAATATAATTCTTAAGCCACCGTAGAATAAAATTTGCCTAATGGACTTACTTTGAGTAATCCTTGAACAAAAAGTCCTGACTCATACTTGAAAGATGATTCATTTCTACAGAGTCTGGAACATTTACGTTCTGACGGTGTAAGAAACAGACACAATGTTCTCACAATCTGCATTTTAAAAACAGTTTTGAAAAGACAGGAAAATTTAAAGACCAAGTTGATCCTGAGAAACATTTTTTGACTTGAATGTACTGCACATTTCAAATGCTACATGATAAAATTTCATCCCAATTTCCCATTAAATGAGTAAAACTCCACATCTTTTGCCAAAGGTATCTTAGCCAACTGCATATGACAAATCACTTCTGCCTTCCGTTAGGTGTTCTTATAACTTAAAAATGAGTTACTATGATGACTTTTCTGGCTTATTTAGGCCTGTTATTTTATTTGCTGCATATTGAAACACTAGCTGTTATCTCCAATAGGCAAAGTTATTTTTTTAAGCATCAGTGCTTATTATGTTTTCTCAATGTTATTTCTTTCAGATCTCTATCAAAAGTAAAAAAAAGTTTTTCATTATCCTTTTGTATACACATATCCTGCAACAGCTAAAAGTAATCTTCAAATATTAACATATATTCCATGGTATTAACTACAGTCTTAAAACTGTAATTTCTTATTTGTCTGTGTCTGGGGAGGCTCTGTCCTTGCTCAGTATCTTTAACATCACCAATGTCATCCTACTTTCTGACAGAATCTATTTCCCACTTTGCAACAGGTAATTTTATCATAAAGAAAGCTGGATAAAGCATTTTCTTTAGAACCGATGTACCCTGACAAAATGAGCACAAGAGCACAGTAATGTTAAGGACTTATATAGAATTATACCTATATCATGGTATATTTAACATCTATTGATTTATATCAAATATCAATATATGTTTTGCCCTGGATATATCTTGAAACTCACATTCTTCCAGACTTTTTATTTTTCTCTAAAGTATCTAGCTTATCAAAATATTTTTTTAAAACAGTCCTGACTATTTAAATTATATCTTATATCCCTGGAACAATACTTATTAATTGTGGTTAGCAGATTTCAGCTAAAAATTGATCATTTTCTTTTCTCCAGTTACCTAGCTCATGAATAGAATGTCAGTTGTCACTATGCACTTGATAAGAGGTGGTTTATCATCACTCTGAATACACACAAAACAACCTCCGTCTTTCACATTTTTTAACAACATGAAGTGCTTATTTCAAAACAGGCTTACTCAAGAAGCACTTTTTTTTGTAAACCTACTTTTTAAAAAAGGAATACATTGCAGAGTAGCTACTATATACAGCTACTTAACAAATGTATTATCTATTCAATAGGCCTAGTATTTTTATGTTGAAGCAATATACACATATACATTCATACGTGTATCAAAAAAAATTAAAATCAGAAGTCCTTGTAAGTGGAGAAACTCATTCTTACAAAATATATTAGAAGTGAGTGATCAGTACACCATAATTTAAGAACTTGATCAGACGGAAAACCCCAATACAGAAAAATATTTTCTGTCAGTAAATGAATTTATCTGACCATACTGCTTCTTCACATGTATACTCCAGGATCCATGTCATAGTCTAATAGCACGAAGATATGGCTACTACACTGCAGAGACCAATATTCTGAGTAGTACCAGAGTACCATTACATTTAATGAGTACCGTTACTGTACTCATGTACCGTTACTGAGTAACGGTACTCATTAAATGTAATGGCATCTGACACTTGAAGGTTCTGGGATAGTATATTTTTATAAAGTCCTTTCCATTCCCACCTGCAGGGATATTCTAAATCACACAGGCTTTAATATTAGCAGATTAAAGAGTGAAAGRAGAGAGGCAATTTATTTAGAGAGTTTCATTTACTTTTTAAAAAATTAAAAAACATAATTTGTTTCTGCCTATTTTGATTCAAGATTAATTTTAGTGAATTTATTTGAAGAGATGGAATGATAGTCTAATTAAGTCAAAGGGAAATCCTCCTGGGTGAAAAGATATTCTACTATATGACATAAATAATATTTAAGAAACATTTCAATGAAGTGCAAACACAGATATATATCTTCCAAAAATTATTTTCAATTTGAAATCAGCACTTATATGTAATCAGAAAGCTGTGTATACAATTTGATTTGGAAAATTCTGAATAAAAATCTTCCTTTTTCTTTTAAAGAGTTTGTAAATTTAAAAAAAGCATCAAAATGATCCATAGTACAAATATTAAAAAAGATAATGAACACTTAACTAGAACCAAGATGAAATTAACAGATTTATAAGTGAGTTTAAAAAAGCTTAATAAAATGGGAAAAAAATCTCCAAAAAAATCTCCATCTCATTCACTATTTATGTACAGTATGAATAAAATTACATTGTCTTGATAAAAGTTACCAGAAAACAATTAATAAGCCACTTTTCAAGCAGAATTAGTAACTTTTAGAGCAATCAACTGAAGATAGACAACTAGATGATATTCCCTCTTTCTTCAACCTCAAGTACATCTACAGAAAACTCTTGCTGTGAATGACTAACACTCTTAATAATGAACATTCAAGTTGGTTTGTTCAAAAGTGCCTTACCTTATTCACTTTTTCTGCACTGCTACCAACAACTACGGAACAACCACAGGTCTGAAGATGCGAACTTATTGCACTTCAAATAAAAACAAAATAGGTTAATACATTTATAAATACTTTTAAAATATAATCATCATCATGATTCCACAGAATTAAGTCCCCAGTATAATTTTGGGTATAACTTTGTGATTTTAGCAATACCTACAGTTTTACTCTGATTGATAGAAAAACTGGCAGACAAAATCTCCAAATATCACTTACAGTGCTAACCCAACCTCTCTACTGCTACGTAGCTGTATTACACCATCGCTAGAAAGTTTTTCGTCTAAAATAGCAGAAAGACATCAATAATGAAAGGTTTGAAAGAATTTTGAAAGATGACTTATTTGATGTTCCTAATTTTCTAAAACTTCACGTCAGATGGCAGTTTTGGGACACTTGGTAGATGGACTGTCCTGCTCCTGTTAACTGCATGAGCAAGAACACTTCACAGGTGTGAGCTCCTCGATACACAATGGTACACTAGGGATTAGAGAGTGTTGTCTTGTGACAACAGCACTGCTCTGATTTAGTTACTCCTTAGCTTGGCAGCTGCTACAAGTATACCTGCACTAATCCTGACAACTGCTAACCTGTTCTTAACAGACTCCTGTTCATGATTTGTCATCACTCTTCTTGACTTTCTCAAACAAACACCTACCCCCTGGTTTCAAAAGTCTGGCCATCTTTGTAATTTGAAAGCTTTTTCTAACATCTATGAATAAATATTAGAATTGAGGGACTGTTTGTATTGTGTTCAACCAGTTCTAATAAACACCTCTAAAATTATTAGCATTATAATAGCTATGCTGAGACTCTCCTACATTTGAAAATCCTACAGGTGCACTTTATACTGGGTCTACTACTACTTATCTTATGAAATATTTTAAAAATAGATTCAAGGTGTGCAGATGAATTTCTTACTTAGTGCAATGCAATTTTTGGTCAGTGAAATATAGATATCCATACTAACACCATATTAGATTGAGAGCTGAATCCAGTAGAGTTGATAAGCTCTGCTACCCTCTCAAAGGCAGCTTTAAGTAGAGCATCACATGAAGCTTAACTGAACCTATATCCTTGATGATGCAGAGTTTATCAGATCATTCATCAGATCAGTTATGTTACTTCTGTTCATTAATCCTGCCACTGATTGTCTAATAGCTGTATAAAACTGTAAGACCTTGCTACTATTTGCAGTAATTTTAAAAAAGTTATAAAATCAGGAAAAGGGGGTACACAATAAATCACATAACATGGAAATACACTCCAGAACATTGTAGATATACAACTAAAACATATGCCGTGATCTTCTTTTCGAGAAATACTGTGCAACACTACACATCTGCAGTGCTGCTTATTTGGATGTTGTCAGCATCATGTCAGAGTGAAAAGTATGTTTCAAACAGGTTCAAAAAGGGTGTTTGGACCCTTTGGAAATTTTATCTGTATAAGAGACATAGGATCAAGGCAGTCATTATCTGCTTCTGACAGAAGAGTATTTTATCGTCACAGAACCAGTGACTCTARTTGCTTACAATAATCCATCTGACAATATTTGTCACGTTATTTTATAAAGAGTGCTAGCATTAGAAGATTAAAAACACACACAGAACCAAGTTCTCTATAAAACTATATACTATGTAAGTGTGAATAATTTGTGAATTTAACACATGAATTTGTGCAGTACTGAAAAAACATATGACACTGTACAAACAGATTAAAGAATCTTTGAAGCTAAGCAGTAAAGAAATTAATGCAGTCGTAGGGGACATATTCTAAAAGATAACAGATGATCTATCAAAATCCATGAAATACAATTCCCACGGGAGACTGATTCTCTGAGGTGCAAATATTTCTGTTTTTACATTAAAAATACAAAAAAAAAAAAGTCAAATACATGTCTTTTTCCACTCATATAAAAAATCTATCACACTCACATGCATACATATTTATACATATATAAATACACACAAAAGTCTATGTCATTTTACTGCATCATATATCAAAAATGCATTTCATACTTGAGGAGAAAGCCTTCATGACAACTATCCCCGATGTCATCGTCATTTAGCACTGTATCACTTATCTAAAATGCAAATAAACATAAACAAAGGTTAGACAGTATATGGACAATTTTAAATAACTCATCTTTGTTTTGAACACAAGTGCTACCTGTTTAGGAACTGCTCTGTTTAGGATCTGCTTAAAGTAAGTTTTAACACTGCCAGAAAACCAAAAGGTTAAAAAGGCCTTGGACTTCAGCCAAACGATACTTAGAAAATCAGAAAAGTCACTGATCATTAAATTTGTTTCTCCATCTTGACAGTCAGGTTTGCATACAATATGTTTTTCTAATGCCTTCTCCAGAATAACTTAAATTGGTTCAAGTCAAAWCAGTTCCATTTTTTTGATGAGAATAATAAACTACACTGAATTAGGTATCAACTTTAAATCSAGTTACCTCTTTACGTTTTTTGTTTTGTGTGAACATCCTCTCTTTTATTGTTTTAAAAATGGTATCACTGGTAGCTAATTTGGTAAGTGCTGAGCAAAATTTCACTGCCAGTGCAGTGATATTTAGAAAACTATACTTCCTTATGCGAAACCATCCCAAACATCATTAAGCAGAGTATAATTTTTTCTTGTTGTTGAAGACAGCATCAAATGAGAATGGCACTTTATTACTCAGATTGCAATAAGTTTAAGGACTTACATCTATTTCTTCTGAAACACTGTGTGATTTCATAGAAGAAAGGAGTTCCATTACAGGAATAACTTCTCCTGTCAGCATCGGAATGATGCTGTGGCCCTGTGGAATAAATAAAATATATTGAAGTTAAGGTATGCAGTACAGGGAGTTGCCAGGAAGAAACTCAGGCAAAACTTCTGAAGTTTCTATTGTTTGCAAGTGTGGTATATGAGTTAACTGATACACAAACTTCAACACCAATTTAAATTGGAAACACCTGATTCTCTTTTTTAACCATACTTTTAAAATGCGTTCCCAGCCTCCTAGGTTGATTCACCAGATCAGTTTGATTGGCCTACTCAGGAAATATTTGTAATGATACAACTTGTTCATACTATATTACATGCAAGTACTGTTAAGTGTTACTGATGCAAACTACAATACTTTAATAATGACAGGACAACAGTACCAGGTTTATTAGTTATTAACATGGTACATTATTTCTCTTGTTTCACATACACAAAAATGCCCCATTTTCATAGGTACCCTTTCAGAAACCAAATTCTCTTCACGTTCTCACACATTAAATGTACAACCACATTCTAACATGACAGACTCCACACATCTCTGTAATCTGAAAAGGTAATGACCTATTGAAAAACTACCCTTGTCCGGAGGAGAGCATAAATCTACGGAAACTATTATGGAAGCTACTACCTTTAAGGAAACGGAAGTACAGATAAAAAACTTCTCTCTTCTGAGCTATAACATTCTTCACAGACTTCCCTTTTACACATAAATGGATGGAATGTACTTGTTTGTTCAAGGCTCCCATCATCCTATCTTCAGTAGTTTGCCTCGTGTATGGCAGGTCATCAGCCAGTTCAAAGTATCTTCCTGGATCCCAGAAATGAGAAGTGGCACCAAGTTCTACAGTTACAAGATTCAGTCAATACACTTTGTGATGTTGGGCCATATTCATCAACCAGACTCTCTTACCTGATCCTCCATTCTCTCTGTGCCTTCCAAGACAATCTTCTGGAAATGTTCTTGCCTCTCCTGAGCAAGAAAGCAGTTAAATATAAAAACTCTGGTATTTCTCTATACATGTATGCACACAACAGCCAAATGGTAAAATTTCTTCCCTGCAGAGACATGCTTCTTAGATCCAAATTCTGATGTTCAAGTCCTTTTCTTTTACAGAGTTGACATTGGGAGGAATGAAGTCATTTTAAAGTGATCAGTGCTTCCTGCTCCGCACCAAAGCTCTTACACATTGCAGGAGTAGCAGGAGAGAATGATGACAATAACAACAGATTAATAGTCCTTTTGTTACAGACCAAGAAAATGACAAACCATCAAAAGATTATCATTCTGAATTCCACTTTATATACTTTTATTTTCAAATGAATGACATACACAGTGATGACTACCAAAGAAAGACGAACAAATGAGATCTCTAAGATACGGAAAATATTGGTTTGGAGTCGGGAGGAAAGACAGGGTAATTCTCCCGTCTTGAGACACTGACAGACATTGACAAAACTTCAAAACATGCCTTCTGTTTTAAAATCAAGTACAGGTGACACAAAACCTAAAAGTATATAAAACATGGCTGTATAAGAGATTGGACTAGGCTCTCTGAACAGATTCACCAGCAGCTCAGTAGCAAACAGGATTGAAAATGTAACTCAGCGATACCTAGTTATTATTCACAATGAGAGTCTAACTCACTCGATTAATCATTATGACATCAAAAAAAAAAAAAAAAAAAAAAAAAAAAAAAAAAACAAAAAAAACCAATGCCACAACAACTAAAGATAGCTTTGCTAAACACTAAGAAGTTACTGCATTTCTCCTGTCACTGGTCTCATGAAGTACTCAAAGTTCATCTATATCAAGCGGGTAAAGAGTTTACTTAATCTCTTTGAAGCAGATGAATAAAGGGCAGCCTACAGCAAATTGCCCTCAAATGGCACATGTCTAACAATCTGAAAGGCCACACAGCTACAATGAAGATTCCTTAAGGTCACTTCTATTGTGARGCTTCTTAGATAACGAAGATCCTTTGCTCTGAAAGACTTCATGTAAATACTGTAATACCACTAGCCCTGTCCATCCCTAAATAAATCTCATGAGAACTGATAATCACAGCAACCATTATAAATGCCACAACAGATGGCATTTATGGAACAGATGTTCCTCTGACATTTTAATTCAATATTATTTGTTGTGATATAGACATGCTTGATGAATCCTCATAAATTGGAAACTAATATTTCTGCCTGTCTTCATACACTACTCATGGCTAAAATAGAATCTAAATGTTTAACATGAAGTAAGGTTGAGGCTCTGATTTCTCTGGTCTCTTCATCATCAAAAAAAGCTAAAAACACTTCTGGCCTTCCTCAAAAATCCAACAATAAGTAAAATAATTTTATTCTCTAGGCTAACCAAGCTGGACTATCCACTTAAGGAATACATGAAAGAGAATGAAGAACTTAGGACTAATTCCAGAGAATATCTTCAGAAATCATGTTCCATCACTATCAATTCAAAAACTGCCAGGCCATTTCTACAGGAGAAAATGATGAATGTGGATCCAGATTCAAAAACAGAGAAGACAAGCTGTAGTTAACAACAACGCACAGTGCTTTATTTGAACTTTGCTATTCCACGGTGAAAGTCTGTAGAGAGAGACCTAAATGACTTGGAAAAATATGTAAGAGCATGAGTATTTCTTTATGTCAAAAGCACTAACGTGTAGGGAACAACTGACTTTTAGAAGACTAGGTTAGCAAGACACATTTATGTTTTTACCTTACTGAAAATGAAAGTTCTGTCTTTCCTTTAAAAAAAACAGAATTAACAAGAGTGGATGTAAAAAGAGACATAGCCAAATCATACAGCAAGAAAATGTTCTGTTAGTGTAACAAAAATTACAACTTTAAATTTAACAGTAAATTATTACTTTTGGAACCTTATTCAGAGTAATTAAAAATGAAGTCAGTAGAAGCCTCAAAACAGAACAGGAAGTTCATCAAGCTATCATACATCCCCACAGACATTACCACTGACATGCAAAATACAACTTTTAGACAATTTCCCAGCAATTTTTTCATTTTTAGTATTAGAAAATCATATATCTCTAACGAAACACATAATTTCCATTTAATCATGAAAAATGCACAATGAACSCAAAAGTGCAATTTTTCAAAAATAATTTCATAAAGTTTCTTTTTCAGAATTCAGAAGCAGTAATAATATTCGAACTAAAGCTGATTTGTCTTAGTGATTGACCCACAGTTTAATCCTTTGGCAAGTTCTCTTGCAAAAACTGCTTTCTAATAGTCTTTTTGGGGAAATGATACAGTGACTACTGTATATATAGCAGTAACTTGAATTCATTCCAACAGTTCCTTTTTTTTTGGACATCAAGAGTGAAAACAATTATCTGAAACACTGTAATTTTACAATTCCACCTAATACAAATCCTTTACTTAGCATATCTTATAATAGCAATTTTTATCAGATTCAGGGAGATGAAAGATACTGCACAAGACACCTGTTCTAACCAGATGAATTGGCACATGCTCATATAATCCTCTATATAACAATAAATCAYATGACTAAAAACCCAGCTTTCAATTTGTTGACATATGGACTTTTCACCTTCAAAACCTAATAAGTCTAGAAATATCATTTTCCTTGAGTTTCTGTGTATAATTATGATACAATCAGGATCATACTTTGCTACCGCTCAAAAGAATTCAGGCAATTGTAGCTGTGAACTACAACTGTAGCAACGAAACAGCTTTTAGTAATGAAAGCAAACCTACCTTGTGCATCCATATTCTTCCTTTCCTTATAATATGTGTTAACCTGTCCACACACACCCTGTGAAGAGGCAGGTAGAAGCCAAGTTCACTTTGTGGCAGTATAATGGACAGTCCGTAGGTGCTTCTGTCTCCATTCCAGTTTCCATCGAAGATTAATGACACAATGATCACTCTTTTCTCTGCCAAAACGAAAAACTTCACGTCTATCGCACCGCTTTCCGCATTCCGAAGTATCTCTCCGTTCAGTGTATGATTTGCAAGAAAAGTTATTTCACCATCGCTGAGAAGAACCTGTTTGGTCTTCGGGGCCCAGATGTGTCGCACTCTGGGACCAAGAATATTGTCCCAGTAAGCAAAAGTGGCAGCCAACAAAGGCGACTCTCCATTCAAAGAGATCTCTGTTTTGGCAACTGCAGGAGAGGGTGGTGGACAAAGAGCTGACATACCTTTTTCTTCTCTATCATACCATTAAAATGCATTCATTGCCTAAAAATCAAAGTTTTAGCAGAAAAAAAAAATTAGGAAAGCATGCATTATTTCCTCATTCCTCTGCTTTCAAATAAGACTTCAAGACATCCACAGCTCTCGCTTCCACTATTAGGATTCCACCTAGCCTTCATGCAAGAAGCAAGTTATATGCATACTTTCTACATAACAAAGTGGTATGACTCACAACTTTTAGTCATTCACTGAGATATACTTGCTGCAGAAAGTTTATGATGATGAACCTGCGCAACATTCAACTAGTGTTAAAAAAAGGCACAAAAGATGCATTTCCTTTACTTTAAAGTAAAGCAGATACATGCCCTGGCATTAGGTAACAGGAAGTTTCATCTTGACAACAGAAAAGGCAAGTTGGTCACAGCAGCAGCCGCAGGACCCAGATATACTACATCAAGAACCCACACATGTGACATCAAGAGTTATTCCAAAAATCTCAACCCAGRAAGGACAAATACAAAACTTAAATACATTAATCTTAGGTGAACTTGGAGAGATTAAACCTCTTTGCTTCTTTTTAAACAGTGTGCACCTAGTGTACCCAAGAAAGGGTACAGAAAAAAAGAGAAAAAACTGCTGTTTTTTTACATCAGGCCTTTTGTGTGTGTGTGTTTATATTTTTTCCTTTTTTTTTTTTTCTTTTTTTTTTTGGTTCATACACTTACGGGTTTTAAGGTCCCAACTAAAATTGTCCAACTGTTTTTCCTCAGGGCAGAAATGCATCTCCTCTGTTTGCTTCCTTTTCTAGGCCTCACTTAACAGCGTTATGCCATTTTCCTATACCGTCCCTGGCAGCCTGCGCTGGGAGAGGGGAAGCCAGACACGCTCCAAACGCAACTTCCCCGTTTCCGAGGAAGTCGAAACAGACATGTCCCTACCCTCCGCCTTCACCCGCGCGCTGAACCCAAGCCCCTCCGTCCGCCACCGCGCAGAACTGCAGCCTCCAGAGCCCCGCCGCACCCCCGGGCCCCGAGAGCCGCACCTCCCGCCTCACTCACCTGCGCAACCGCCGCAACGGCCGCCCTGGCCACAGCGCCGCGCGCATGCGCACAACGCAACGCCCACCCCGTCCACAGCGCCGCGCGCACGCGCACACCGTAACCGCCGCAACGGCCGCCCCGTCCACAGCGCCSCGCGCATGCGCACGTCCCAACCGCTGCAACGGCCGCCCCGGCGCCGCGCGCATGCGCACGCCCCTTCCCCGCCCTCGAGAGTGGCCGCGGGCGCGGCCGCCCTCCCGCGCATGCGCCGCCCGCCGCGGGGAGGAACCGAGTGCGCCGCGGCCGCAGGGGGCGATGGCGGCGGGGAACGCTGATGGGGGGGAATGGGTTGCCCCGCTCTGGTCCGTAATGGGCCCAAAGGGTTTTTTTCTAATAAAATAAACTTGCACTGAGTTCAAGTTCTGTGGGCAGGCTATGGGCTTATGAAATAAGGACCATTAAGGGTTCCCTTGCTGCTCAAATCACATTGCCAGTTTCTGTTACACTGCCACAAATGTTGGGAAAGGGGGAAAAAAAAAACTGTGTGTGGTTAAAGATACTTAGCATGAATYGGGAATATTGGAAATAAAAGATTTCAAAGGGGATTTTACATTATTTGTGACAGTACACTGGCTGTGAGTGTTTTCCAAAGGTCCAAACAAAACCTGCCACAGCAAGGACCAGAGTAGTTGAAACATTTGACTTGGCAAACTGAAGTAACTGGAATGTGAAGTTCATGCATTAGTTATGCTGGAGCGTCACTTTGGAATATAGAAGTTGAAAACTGAAAATACAGGGAACCTTTCACTGCTATACGCAGCCCTGTTCTATCAGCAGCCACCTAAGGCCTCTACTCTGCCAATAAGGTAATAAACGATGATAAAGYAAGTATACAGTAATGGATCGGAATTTACTCAGATTTTGAAGACAGCGCGTGTCACTTTCAATAAACACAAACAGCTGATCTGTGTGTGTCTCAGATGTGCTCTGTGAAGCCGGGATCCTCACGTCGGTAAGGGCTTGGTTTGAGCAAGCTGAAGCGCACTGCATGTAGAGATCAGTTCACTCCTTCTAATGCAGTCCCCTGTCACATCTGGCATGGAGAGTATCTTATGCCAACACTTCCCTCATGCTGAGTCTGACTAATCCCAGGGAGACATTTGCATTTCTTTGGTCAATTTAGGAAGAAACATTTACACGAGTTAATCCACTCAGCAGTCACAGCTGCTTATCTGACACGAATGTCATTCTTAGGTGCTGTAGGTGTTGAGATAAAGCCAATTCTCTCTGCACCAAATGTGATAGTGAGTTACATCCTATGAGCCTCCGGTGAGCTTCAGGAGGACCTTGCCCTTGGCCATAGCTTGTAAGCCTTCTTCCACTGTAGGAGTTGTTGGTTCTTCACAGTGACCAAACTAGTAAACAAGATTATTCTCCCTCTTACCTCTGCTGCATGGTCAGTATCTCCGGTTCAGTATCTCTGTCACCGATRCAAATACTGAAAATTCTAGAGAAAGGCAAATTCTGTTCATGACCTCCCATTTRAAAGAGCCTAGAGAAAATTATCAGAGTCTGTTGTTTTGTTAGTCTGCTTTTGTACTCTAGTCGTATTTTCAGCATGTAATCCATCAATTGGATTCTGAGTCATACTAGTGCATTCAGGGCCTGAAATATTACTGACTTCAGAGTTTCTTTTACTGACTTTTACAGACATTCATCGCTTTATAGAGTTATGAATGCTGAGCTGCTCTACTCAACTGGTTAGTTGGCATTCTTGTGTCAGTCCCAGTTTAGTTTAAGCCCTAGGTGGCAATTCTGTTGCCTTTATTAAGATTTTTTATAGGTATTGTGGAATCTGGTTTATTTCCTATGTATCTAACATTCAGGTGCTAACAAGGCAGCATGGTCATATTTTTTCTTGCTTACCCATCTTTGTGTGGCAGAAGCCATCTCACCTGGAGATAGAGAACTTTTGAATTTCTCCAGGAGAACCTGGAGATGGATAGCATTTTTTATGGAGAACTTTTTTAAATGAATTTCTGTGAGTTTTGGCAGGGCTCTCATGTGCAGGAACTCGTTTGTTTCTCCCTCTTAAGTCAGACAAAACTACTTCAGCCAAATCAGCTGCATGTCTAAATGCATTACACAGGCCTTACCTGCATGCCCCAAACTTCCCAAAGCCTCAAGATACAGAGCATCTACCTCCAAGTGCTGAGGAGAGCCGAAGTCTYGGGAATAATGTACAGGCAGAAAACAAGTAATTCGTCATAGAAGGAGGGAGTCAGTTCAATATTGAACTGGACACCAACGTAGCAAAGGGTTGGTGTCTTTTGCCAACAGACAAACAGGCTTGGTTATCTAGCAACCTTGTACCGCCCTGCTGTCATCACAGGGTGTAGCTCCAGCTACTGCACTTGAACTTACAGAGCTCCTTGTCACTCAAGAGTGACACTACTTTTGCAAGCAGTTAGACTGAGCAGTCAAGTAAATGATGGTTTACCAGGATCGTGAGAGTTACCAAGTCTTCTCATGTACTTTCCACTTGGCAAAGCACTTAAAGTCTGTATAGAGGCCCCAGGCTTGTTATGAGCAGGAAGGAGCCACACTGAGAGTATGTCTGTCAGTGTGAGTGAGTGCTGGGCATGTAACCGCAGGATGAAGTGGATGATGGCTGCATAAGTTGCAGGACTACGGAAAATGACAAGGTTCTTTCAGACAGCCACACAACTGGCTAGCAACTATGTCAAACACAGTACTCTGGACTACTTGTATTCTCATCAGTACACATCAGTTTAGAAATACAGCTATGATTTCATATATTTTTTTAAATTAGGAAGATATTCATCTCTTACAGTTAAGTCAAGTGCTCCTATGTTACACAGGCAACTTTTGTACTGTCTGTACTGAGTCCTACTCCAGTAAGGAACACAGCAATGAAACTGTGTTGAAGAACTTCTCACTTTGCTGTACTTTTTTACTTTTCCTGACATTTAGTTCTGTTTTCACTAGAATGGCAAAAGGTCCCTTAGAGGACAAGAGAGGAAGACTAAGCCTTGAGCCAGAGCATTACTCACTGTGGCAGTGAAAGACAACTTATCCTAAAACAGCCGTGTGGACATAGTTCAACACTGTCTTATTACACATATGGTTATTTCTTCTGGAGAAAAGATTTGGTAACGTTCTGTTATTAAAAAAAAAAAAAAAAAACAGATAAGCTTGCAGATATAATTATTAGGTGTCTGACAGGCAACAAGTAAATGTCTGGGAGAACTTCTGTCTACATAATATATTAATATTCATTTTGTTAGACATGTTATTTCTATTTTCGTGTCTTACAGGCAAGACAGTAAACATAATGTATTCAGATATGGGGATTATTTAGGAATTGGTGATGTGGGTGCTGTTACCCTGTTTCATTCTTTTGCACACTCACTCTCGGCATTCACTTCCCAAAATCAGAGTCACTCAATTTAAGACACTCATAAAGAAACTTACTGCAGAGAAGTAATGTATGTATATAAAGTTATAGTTACTGTCACAACAATGCCTAGAAATACTAAAAGAAACTTTGAGCTTAAGTTCAGATGATAAGGAAAAGTCGATACTTTTTTCTACTATTCTGTCATTTTTGTCAGCATAAATTACTGTGTGGCCTAGACAACAGACTTACATTGCAGCAAGGATTAGACGGACAGTGTTTCCATCAGTTATTACAAATTCAGACATCGTGCATGATCAGAAATGCTGCTTTTTTGTTGTTGTTTTTACAGAACTTGAAAGTCATTTACCTACTCAAAGATAGTAGCTGTGTGTAATGTGTCCATCATCGTGGCTACAGAAGCAAGATGTATTTTTTGTGTCTCCCTGTTCAACACTGAACACTGCAAGTGTTTCAGGAATCTTGGCTGAAGGCTRTATCTGCAGTCCTCATTGTAGCCAAATGCTTGAGCAACTCGCCTTTTCTTTTGTTTACAATGCTGCATCAGTAGATGTAACAATAG